TTTGTATATATTAACACGGCAAGTTTATAAATAAAAAATCTAATGTAGTAATTTTAAATTTATGTTGTAGTACTATTTTAACTTGCTTTTCAACTGTTTATTTGTTATACACAGGTCATCCATAAATAAGAGATATCACACTTTTAGACAGTACCACACTTATTTTATCTAAACAAGCAATTGTTGGTTGCTAATTCTGAGCAATTCATAAAGTCGTGCAATATTCCATATCTCTTACATTTACTTAACCAAGAACAGTAAATTTTTTTTGTGCGGTCTTTTTAACAAAAAACTCTTAAAATTAAAAGTCATAGCAACATAAGTAGGTCCTAGAAACAAAAAAAAAAATTCATAACAAAATGAGCATGTAGAGGTACGCTTCTAAACTTATCAGGTCTAAAGCAAAAGACTTCATAAAACTCAGGTCTTATCAAATAGGTTTACATCGTTGTTTGTGCTAAACCGTTTTTACGATTCCACGAAAAAAAAACCTATTAAAATTCAAACGACAATAAAATCTCCGCCTGACATAAAATACATTTTCATATATGCTAATGAAAGCCACGCTAGGTTCATAAACTACAATAAAACGAGCAGTTTCAAAACATATTTAATAAACAACACTCTTCTTACAAATTTACAAATAAAGTTGAAAACGAACGTCCTTTAGAAAAATAGTGGAAGACCCGTGCCTCCTGGCCTCCCTTCCCTCATCTCCAGTGGCGTTATCCATGTTAATTTTATTTGTTAATAATAAAGACAAATATGGGTTAAAAGAGTACAAGAAAAACTCCCTAACCAATATTTAAATCAAATCTCAAAAAATGTTAAAAGTGGTATTTAAAGGTTGTATCCAGCAAACCTCATTTGTAATTATTTAAAGGTTGTATCCATGGTTGTATCCACCTCATTTGTAAGCTGAAGTGTACTTTCTAGTTAACATATTCAAAGAAAATGATTATAACAAATGAAAGTTTAAAAATATTATTATAAAAGGATCGACAAGAAAAATTCAAATACCATCAAATTTATAATGACTTTCCATTTGTTGTTCTATTTTAATGAATATCTTACTATCCCTAAAACTTAGAAAAGTAATTTGGAAAAACTATAGAAACTGCTTTTAATTTTAATCTAAACTTAAGAACATTACTAACGTCTAAAAACAAACTAAAAGTACCAAACCAAACCATAGCATCTGTGCTATAAAACATACAGAAGAAGCAAAATTGCAAATTAAATAAGATACTTTTAATAAAAAAAAAAAAAATTAAAGATAAGTATCATCAGTCTTTATCTTGCTTTTTATCAATTTGCATATGTAAAAAGTAAGTTTTCTTTTGTTCAAAAGTAAGAACCCTTAAACTAAAAGTTTGTTAAGGAGGTTTGGAAAGCATCGGAAATACAAAACTCTAACAATCTACTACGCAACCTCTTCACACCCAGTGGACACACCTCGTCCGGAGGACGTCCGTTAAACGAGTTGGAGGTAAGAAAGTTTCTTAGGGAGGTTTCGAAAGCAATATATATATATATATATATATATATATATATATATATATATATATATATATATATATATATATATATATATATATATATATAATATATATTGCTTTCCAAACCTCCCTAACAAACTTTCTTACCTCCAACACGTTTAACGGACGTCCTCCGGATCTACTCGTGTAGTAGATCTACTACACGACCTCTTTACAGCCAGTAGGCACGCGTTGTCCGGACGACGTCCGTTAAACGTCTCACAGACGTTCAACGGACTTCAAAAAAGCTAATATCACGTACCTTAAAAAGCGCAAGATTTTATATTTTTTTATTAAGAAAACATTTGTACTTTATGTTTAATATATTGAAACTACTTTCTTTTAATGCTAAATAAATTAAACAAACTTAAATAATGGTACAATTACAAATGTTACATCCTTGATTTGTGTTACTAATACGGATAAAAATAAAAACTATATTTGAGTAAACTAAAATTTCTAATAATACTCTGTATTTCAGACAATAACATTCCAACCACTCCTCATTCATATTGGTAATTATGTAAAACGCTCTACAATGGAGTTTTGTCATTCTCTTAAACGAATCAAGCATTTAGTCTTTAAGTGCAAACAACGACAAATTAGCTTGAAAACGTGATTTATTTTTTTCCTCGATTATTGATTATAAGTTAATGAAATTGGAGCAAAACATTACTAAAACTCATTGTTCCTCGTTTCGTTATTGCCTTTAATTTTTTGTATGAAGAAAAGTTAATAATGACAAAAAGAGGATCAAAAAAAGGGAAGAAAGGAGAGAAAAGTAAATCCAAGGTACAACTTCTTGTTCATCTTCTTTCTAAATTTTTTTAAACTTGCTAGATTTTAAAAGTAGAAATAAAATAAAAAGTAATAAACGGACGTATCGTATCGAGTTTTATCGTTTGTCATACGATCGAACAAAACATTTTGAGCTTATTACTTTAAGTTAGAAAGAAACATCAAAGAAGGTGTGTCGCTTTTAGACTAACTTTTAAAAATTTAATGATTCATAAAAGCAATTATGAATGAAGCATTAAACATAAAAATACTTAATTTATATGAAAAAAATGTGTAATAGCCCCATAGGTTTACTAATGCTAGTAAACGTATGGGTCTATAGAAATCTGTTGTTTATAAAAAAAGTCTTCAAAAGATTAACGGAAATAAGTTACATTAAGAAAAATATATATAAAGGAAATACAATAATAGATAAATAATATAAAAGTAAATTGAAAAAGGGATAACTTTAAATCTTAACTATTTTTGCCGCCTGTGATTTTAAAGTTATATAGGAAATGTAAGGACCGTATAAATATATATGAATTATTGTTGAAAAAATTACAAAAAAAATTTCAATGTGTAAGATTTTAGGCTGCTATGCAAATTCCGTATATCTAAGCAAGATCTAACCACATAACTAAATAGACATTTTACCGCTCGATTTTATGTATTTTAGCGCTTCATTTTCTGTATTTTTGAATTTTAGTGCAACACAATAACTTCAGTAATTAAAGAGTTAACTAAATAACTCCAACATGCATAGTTTTTTTTTTTTTTTGCTCTATATCATTTTTACAATAAATACATTTTATCTATAATTTTTATCCGGATCATAAAAAGACATAAACTGTCTTATCACTAAGCCTCGTTTACACACACAAACACACACACATATTCAAATAATGCATTAAAAAAATTCTTGCTTTTAGAGTTTACAAAAAAAAAAAAAAGAGTTATTTTACACCTTGGTAATAATAAACTGTTACAAAAACAGTTGTATGATCTCCGTGCTATATTTTGACTCTCCATCGTATTCGTCTTATTTTTATATAACTCAGTATTCTTTGCAATCTTGTAATATACATTTAAAATAAACTTGCTTCTTATAAGTTGCAATTCAAATAAAAAAATACACCAATGAAAAAAGTTGTTGTTATTAGATACTTGATTACTTTTTGGCTGAGGTTCCTTGGTTTGATAAAAAAAACTGCTAACAACTGCAATATAGATCTGTAAAAAAATATTAAATTTTATTATTTTGATGCTGGGTGCGTTGGTTGTCAAGGATATTGATTTATTTAGCTCATTGTTGTTTAAAAAAACTTTTGATAATATAAATCCTTCGTCGTATCTAATTAAACTGTGCACATAAACAAAAAAAGCAAACAAAGATAAAAAAAAACAATTAATTATTAATGTCAATAATTAACATTTTTTTTTTAAATTAATTTTTGTTTTCTACTTTAAGGAATGCTTTTTCCTATTTGGTAAAAATTTGTTGAAAAATTTTGTATTCTTTCTCTGGGAAAGTTTTATAATCTATAGAAAAGTCTATTATCTCTAGAAAAATTATTTCATCTCAGGAATATTTCTATTATTTCTGCAAATATTTACATAATGTGCTGCCTAGTTATTTTAATAATAAAGATTATATCTATTAAAATTGAAGATAAAACGTGTCAATATGCATTAAACCGATTAATTTGAATATTGTAAAAAATGTTTGCGAATGCAAATATAGCATTTTAAAATAAATCTGCTGTAGTTTACTTTTGGGAGTTATAATATTAAAAAATGTTTCTACGGTAATTATAGATCTATGCTTAAAAGAAGACGTTTTGGTTGATTGAAAAAAGTTTTTTATTTTATTTGTTAAATTACTTAATAACAGAGCTTGTTTAGTTGTGTACTTGATTTATAATCAGTAAAAGATTTAGTGATACATTTTTGTATACCGTGTTAGTTTATTGAGTAAGCGTTTCATGTTTTGTAGAAATTGTTGTCTCTTAAATTGACTGGTGCCGAGTTTTTTTTCAATAAAAAAAATTCAAAACATAAACTTTATTGGTCCCCATGTAAAATTTTCTTTTTGAGCTAATTTTTTATTTCTTTCAGTATTCATCTGCCTTCTCTTTTTTTTATTTCCACCTGTCTATTAAACGTATACATTTTACTCTTGATTAAACCATTTTAAAAATCAAAATTCGAAATTTTAAAATGTTTTAATATATTTAAGACCAAAAGTCGAAAGAATGAATAATATATATCAAAAATAAAAAAGAAATAATAAAAAAAAAAAGTTTATTTAAAAAATGGAAATTTTACTGCATTAAGGATACCGTTTTTCTATTAAATAAAAGAACCAAAAGATTTCTTTTTTATTCTTATCAATACAATCAATCGCTTTTTATTAAAAAATACTAGATTTTTTCTTATATGCACGACTTTGAAAAAATTAAATGTTCTGATATTTTTTAGTTACGTAGTTTCTTTAGAAATATAACTGAAATTTTTTTTTTGATATTAATTTTTACAACATTGGCATTTCTTTTTTCCGACAAATAAATAACCTTATAATGTTACATTGCAAAACAGTTTAACAATGTAACGTTGATCAAACATATATTCGGATGTAAACTTGGTTTTACGTAGAAATAATATTAGTTGTAATTTTACTTAAGAAATATAATAAAAATTACATGTGATGCCCCGCAAACAACGCAGTAGCATTAAATTGAAAAGAAGACCTTTTTCTGAAGGAGACGGTGTATCGATATCTTCATTTACACAGGTATGTTTCAATTATATTTTTAAACAATAAATAATTGAAAAAACTTTAAATTGTGTATTTAGAAACCTTTTTTTTGTCTTATTAAAAATAAATAGATAATAAATCTCATTAAAATAATATCAACTAAGTTACACAATTTAGCTAAATTATATGAACTGTGTTAATTATGTGAAATTATGATAAACTTTGCGAGTTACGATAAATTATTGTGATTTTTAATTTGCTCTTTAATTTTTATCATTTTAAATCAATTGATATATATTAAACATTGTTACTTTATTGTCATAATAAACTAAAAATATTACGTGGTCAAACTTACGAGGTAAAAGTCAAACTGTTTTTGTTTTAAATACTTAAACACGATTGTAAATTAATTATTCCTTAAAACTAAAGAATTTTAATTTAAAAAAAGTTTTAAGCGCTCAAAAGATATTGTAGTATACTATAATTAACGAAACTCTTATTTCAAATATTATTACACCTTTTTCACGCAAATGTTAAGAAAAAGTTTTTAAAACTTGAAAACATATTTACGATCAACTAACAAGAGTAGTAGGTAGTAAGGGTTGTAAAGGGAAAGCTGTTTATTAATTTTAACAACGTTAAAGGTTTTAAGATTTTCATTTGTTCTAATTTCAGAAGGGAGTCATTATGTTTAACTATTAAATACATCAACCGATAAACAACCAAACTCTTAAGCGCAACGAAAAAAGTGGAGATAAATTTTGCTTATTAAATGAAGAGTAATTCAAAAACTTTCAAAATAAAAACGAAAGAGTTTTTTTCTAGCCAGTCCAAGCTTGACACTGTATAGTTTTTTTTTTTCAAAGTTTTTAAGCAATCTTGCCAACCTGAAATTTAAATATTTAGAAAAACCTTTTGTTATGTTAGCAATAGGTCTTTTGTTATATTAACAATAGGTCTTTTGTTATATTAACAATAGGTCTTCGTGTCATTTTTATACTACTCCGAAAACTTGTTTTGACGGTCTTCAGTCTTCAAAAGCAGTTGACGACTTTTAGTCTAAAAGTCGTCAATTTTAGACATCAATTTACAGTCGCGTAAGTGATTTTTTGATAATACGACTTACCGCTGCTAGATTTTTGTTATTGCAATATTTAAATATCCAAAATTATTTTTTTTTTGTTTTATTTTCTTAAAACAAACCCAAAAGTTCAAAATAGTTTAAAAAAAACAACAACATACTTTCTTAAATAAGATTTAAACAATGATAACGGAGCCAGTTGCGGCGCAGAACGTCTACAATAGCTTTATATATATATTTAAAATGTTTTATATTTTCAATTAGTTTTACAGTTTAGAGTGATCAGATTTTAGGCACAAGAAAATCAATATTATTATTTATTAAATATATTCGTTTGTAATAGTTTATAAAATATAATCATTACTGGACATGTATTTTTGAATTTTTTAAAATACATACATTTTGAATGCACAATATTGTACTCAACATAAAAATAAAAAAGTTAAAATGATTTTGGTAAATGCATGTTAATTTGGCTAATTACGTCAATAAAAACGATAGTTTTGAATTGCGACTTCTATGTTAATGGAAAATTATGTTAATGAAACAATAAGTATGTTGAAATTAAAGAAAGTTAAAAACGTTAATAAACTAAATGTTTTCTTTTGTTTTTTACATATTTATTAAAATGATAACTTGGCTACATAAGCTATCTTATAAAAGTAGCAACTTTAGTTAAGTTCAACTTTCTAACAACATGAGCCAAAAAAATAATTCTTTAATCACTTAAAAAATAAATACCAAAATAAAAAGCAACGGCGCATATATTACAAAACACGTTTTTTGTTTTTTATTTTAAAAACAGCGACAAAGCGATATGACGAGTTGTTTTACATTATCAAAACAATCTCGCGATCAATGGTGTCCGAATCAGGACGCTAAGGATTCTGGGATGTGTATTACAGCCAGATAGTAAACATAAGCAGCAAAATGCAAATAAACCTATTTTGTTGTTAGTTAATACATTTCGTTAAAAATAGTACTATATTTATTATTCCAAATTTAAAAAAATATTTAAACAACAATAAAAACAACTACGTTTGGTAGCATATAAAAAAGTTTTATTTTTATACTATTATGTTTGCATTATATTTTGTTTTTATTTTGTTATTATTTATTTTTATTATACCCAGTCGGCACAACTCAGAAAAAAGTTACGCTTGGTTTCAGTTGAGTGTTTAAAACCTTCAAGAAGAACACTTGTCAAAAATGGTTTTCATCCCGTGAAATTAACTATTACTATTTACTATAAATACTACTTAAAATATTATTGGTTTCACCGTTACGTAAATGTAGTGCATTAAAATAAATTTTTGTGAGGAATGTGAAACCATTGATGCAACAATTAAATTTGACTTTAAAACCTCGTGTTAAACTCACCCGTAATACACGTGTTTTTTGTTTACGCCAGGATTGCGACAAACACGTGTCTAAAAGTTTTAGAAATATAGATGCGCCGGTTGGGTTATATATCAGTACTGTCGACTAAATTATTTGATTTTAAAGTTAAAAAAAAAGAAAAAAAAAAGTTGATATCATATCTTTACAAATTATTATTATTATTTTTTAAACTAGTCAAAGCACATTTTTAAAACCTATATTCTTCACGAATCAGTCAAAGCGACATTAAAACACGGCTGTTTCACTGTCACTAATACTCAAATACTCAGTATATGAAAGAATTTTTACTGTGAATTGCAAATAATTAATTATCTCAAGAAATATACAACTTTTTTTTATTCTGTAAAAAGTATTATTTATATAACACATAAGAACAGTAGAAAAGTATTATTAGGGGGGGGTCCAAAATTCTATATTTCTTGTTTAACCAACTATTCATAATTAATTTTTTGAGAAAAGTTCAAAAAACAATTCAGTTTTTGCTAATTTTTTATAGTTGACCTTCTACTTCTATTTTTAAAATTTAAAGATATAAAAAAAAGTCTTTGCAAAAGTTTCTTTGCGTATAAAGTTACGCAACTTTTTTTTCAAATTTATGCTATTCAAATTTTGATTGGATAAATTTGATTTTTAATTGTTGCGTTTTAGAAAAATAAAAAGTTTAAGCTGAAGTCTTTTTCTAAAAAAACGTTTTAAATAAGTAAAACTTCAAAAAAAAAGTTTTATCTGAAGTCTCTTTCTAAACAAAACGTTTTAAGTAAATCACAAAGACAGATTGTTTCAAAGTATCTTAATTTCCTTTTTTTTTTTAATCGTTGCTCAAGCTATCAAGAAGGCTATTCAAGATTTATTTTTTTTCTCGCTTTTCTGAATGAAGTTAAGAATAAATCTTCTTTTAAAGTGCCAGTCAGTAGAAGTTCAGTAAAATTCTAAAGGTTTAACAACTTTAAAGATAAACAGGCTAAAGGAATACCGCTACCTAAAAAGCTTTATAAAAACAAACTGGGTGATCAAATTTTGAAATTTTCTGCTTTACTCTAAAACGCAGTGAATAGCTAGTTAAAAAAAATTTTAGAAGCAGTTAACAAGTATACCTCAAAGTGGTTGAATGATTGTATCATTCTTGCTAGAGTATTTTGGCAAAAATTAGCCTCAGGACTTCAAAAAAGAGAAAAGTATTAGTGTTTGGTTGATGATGGAATATGATTAGTATTAACTTTCTAATTAAGTTGTTGCAGTTGGAAAGCTTTGGAAAAAATCCATTTAATTTCAACAGTAGATGTATACTTAATTATTTAAACCATATAAAAAATGAAGGTTCACGTAGTTTAAATATATTTTGGAAAATTATTGTCCAATTATTTGTCCAAAAAGTTGAAACAATGGAATATAGTTGAAACCAGCTACAAAAACAAATGGATAACAATGGAAGACCAGCAAACGTTACATCAGGTGTGCAAGATGAGTTCTATTTTAGTTTGATTAAAGTTACAAGGCAGCCCATTGAGCTGTGTAAACTAGACATTATTGATGTAGATAAAGATATGTTAAAATAAAAAAAAAGTTCGAAAAATGAGGTTCCTTATTTTAGGGATACAATGTAGGTCATTGTTGCGGAGATCTATTCTGTTTAAATACATGATTGTTGATAAAAAAATACAAACTTCCATTTTATGTCTACCAAAGAACACGCTCATAACCTAGATGTTCTACATGAAAAGTTCCCGCAGCAATCTCTATCACATATGATGACTTTTATAGTTATTTTCCATTTTCAATAGTATATAACAAACTGTATGAATTATTTTCATATATGATGCCTAATTTTTTGTTACTTATAAATCGTAAGGTATATTATTGATAAATTAAACAGAAAAAGATTTCTACTTTTCTACTTTTCTTATATTTAATGATAATAATAATTTCATCTATTTTTGAAAATGTTTTTATTTGTCAATATATTAACTTTTATTTAAATCGAAGTAGAAGGCTAAATAATTAAATGAAAAAAAAATGATTGTGATTTTCACAATCAGCATGAAAATTTAATTAAGAAAAATTGGTTAAACTATAAAAAATCTAAAAAAAGATGATTATGGCCCCCCCCCTCCTCTAGTATTATATTAAGTAATTTAAAAAGTTTTCGAATCATACCTATTACTTTAGAAAAAAAATGTTCAAAAAGTTTTTTTTTTTAAATTTTGAATAGAATATTTTCTTAAGTATTACTCTCAATCTCTCAAGATATACAACTTATAATACAACTTTTTTTTTATTCTGTAAAAAGTATTATATAAACAATACGTTAGAGAATTTACTATCGAAAAAGTAAATTCAATTTTTTTTTTTTTTAATTTTGAACAGCATATTTTATTTAAATAAAATTTTGAACAGCATATTTTATTTAAATTAAATCATTGTGTAAGTTGTAACAATATTAAATCATTGTGTAAGTTGTAACAAACTGTAACAACTTACACAATGAGAAAATAATGTGCTTTGATGAGAAAATATACAGTGGCAGGTCACAGTAACTTCACACTAACAGTGGCGCGCCACTTAAATAACTTACGTAATGAGGAAATATTAAATTTACTATGCAATGGTGTAGCGAGAATATTTGCACCAAGGGCAAAAATGTAAAAAAGCGCCTTTTCTACAATAAAATTAAAATATGTTGCTTTTTTATAGTAAAATAAACTTTTTTTTGCTTCTCGTTTTTTTTGGCGCCCCTTTAAGCCTTTGAGCCCGGGGGCAATTTCCCACTCGGCTCCCCGCTGCATTACTCAGTTGGTAAAAACAAATAGCAGATACTCAAACAAAATAATTAGAAACATTTTTCTCACAAATCGTTCATATAATACAACTTAATGATAAAAAAATGCTACAAAACAAAATTTTATTACAGGCAAGTTGTTTTGTTAATTGTTTGTTTTGTTTTTCTTTTAGTTATATATAAAGTACAAACGATTAGGGGTAATCATTTACGATTTGCCTTTTTTACTCTTTATGAAATAATTGAGTGTTTGAATAAACACTCAATTTTTGTTTTCTTTAAAAAAGGTTTAGAATTGTAAAATTACAAAAAAAGCGTTGAGAATTTCTTGAAAATGAAACTTACAAAATCTTATTTCGCTTATAAACGCGAGCAACTAAACATAATTTTTTTATATAATACGAGGCAACTTGTTGATAAATTTGTATTTGAATCCGCTATTCGGCGCGTTACGCTATTGAAAAGTTATAGAGAAGTGTTAGAGGATTTTGAAAAATGTTGTGTGATGTTAACGAATAAGTAGCGGATTTCAACAAACATATTGCAAAGCCTTTAAAACACAATGCATAAAAAATTATGTCAAAAGCTTTTGTAGTTATCACGCGAAATGCATTTGTATATTGCTCATTTTCTAGCTCTTTTATAAAAAGTTTTATTTTACCAGTAAAATATTGATTTTTATTGTTAAAATAATGAAAGTTGTTTCACTCAAAAAAAAAAATTATTTATTAATATTGTTTGGTTATTTAACTGCCCATTAAAAGAATTAAATTAAGATTAAAATTAAGACTATTGAAGAAATTTATTTTAAGGTAAGATTAAAAATCTTAGGTTAAACGAAAATATTCGCAATAATTCTGTTCAATTTGATTTTCAAGCTGAGCGCAAGTGACAAAAACGCCTTTTGAAACAGCCGTGAAAAAAGCATAATTCTTCATAAACCTGGCAGTACTAGTAGGGCCGCCCAAGGAGGGGGGGGGGCGTGCGGCAGTTATTCAGATATCCATTTAGGCGCCAAATGAAATGTAGGTACCTAAAAAAAAAAGGTCCTTCAAATATAATATAGGGAAAATTTGATAAGGGCGCCGATCAGGATTGCTGTCCCACGCAGCGTGACAGCTCTCGGCGGCCCTGTGTACTAGAGATATCTCAATACAGCACTGTTCGAAGTTTTACACAAAATATGACAACATTGATCACCATATTGTTGCTTTGCACAGCTTTTTACAATAATAATTTAATACGCGTTTGAAAAAAAAGTGTGTTGTTACTATTGTGAACAAGGTATTTTTATTAGATCATTTTCTAAGAAGCGGTCAAATAAAACATTCTTTATTATAAGTATGTTTTTATTTGATCGTTTCTTAGGAAACGGTCAAATAAAAATAGATCTTAAGAAAAAAAGCGCAATACATTTTGTTATAATTGAGAAGAAACAAGCATTATTATTCCAGGAATAATTACTAAGGATTCTCTAAATTGGATAATTGGCTCAATATTTTTAGTTGTCATGCACAAAATTTTGAAAGGTAAATAAACCATTTTGTAGAAAATGTTAATAAAAAATGTCTACTTATTCATGCCGCATCCCTTTATCATTAAAATTTAATGATGTTTTTTTGTTCCCTTACCCATTAGCACTTATTTAATGATTAAATAAGTGCTAATGGGTAAGGGAACAAAAAAACAACAGAAACAAAAAAAGAAGTGTTGCAACAATGTCATGTTCTGATTTTATATAGCCTGGGAGAAAGAATAGTGTTCGTAAATCTTTTAAAAGGAATAATTACTATGCCGTATCCTACTCTAATATCAACAATCCTGATGTCAACAACAATAAAAATACATAAAATCTTATTTCTGATATTATATTAACTCTTGTTGATACCAAAATTTGAAGTAGGATAAATAATGGATTTGATGTTAGATGTTCTGTTTCATTTGGATTTGATAGGGATTTGATAGTGGCTGAAAAAGTTAAGAAAAATACTTTTTTTTTATCTTAACAACCCCTCTCAACTTTAACTTCAAAACACAAACCTTGAAAAAAAAAGCCACTGTGTCAAGAAACAGGTTGAGTACTACCAGAGGTGTGGTGGGAATAGCAGTACTACCAGAGGTGCGGTGGGAGTCGAACTCAAAACTTCTGATAGAGTGCTCACTTTGCTTATAAAGTGAGCACTCTATCATTACATTGCTATTGCAATCATTACAGCATATGTGGATATATATATATATATATATATATATATATATATATATATATATATATATATATATATATATATATATATATATATATATATATATATATAATTGTATAGTGCATTATATGCACTTCACACTATATATGTATGTATAGATGTATGTATCATATTTATTGTCATCTTTATCATCATTATCATCATCATCATCATCATCATCATCAACATCATCATTGCCGTTACCATCATCATCCCCATTTTTATCATCACAATCATAATCATCATCACTATCATCTTCATCACTATCATCATCATTATCACTATCATCATGATCATAGCAAATCATCATTATTAAAAAATTTTAAATCAATTAATGAAGAAAATCAACTGATGGGAGATTGATGTACCAATTTGTGATATATAGATTTAATTAAAAAAATCTCAACTATTTCATATTCAAGATTTATATGATGATGGGTCAAATGAGTTTGAGTATGCCACCTTAATTTTTTTGCTTTGAAAAACTAAAAAAAATTATCAAAAAGTATTATCTTGGAATGAAAGCAATTAAAACAATATATTCTAAAAAATTCACAGAAAAATCAAAATTTCTAATTGACTAGTCACACAATCAATAAATCAAAGTTTAAAGATGACAGATTTTGAATATTTAGATACTAGAATATTTAAAACCTGCTACAAGCTAACTTATATAATGGGAGTCAAATACAAACATTAAAAAAAAAAAAAACATGAGATTTCAATGGCAATAATAAAAATGAAGAGGGTACATAATGATTTCAGAGTTATTTTTAGTTTTACCAAGATACAATTTTGGCCTTTTATTTGAATACATTACATTATGGTTTGATATATCTATTAGTCACTATAAGAAAATCATAGCAACATGGACTGATGTGTATCCTACTGATTTAAGAAACAAAACAGACTGTACAAATATGATATAAAAATTTTTCAAGGGAAAATATGAACCAGTAACTTACTAATAAAAATAATTTTAGACTGCAACAAACTATTTATTAAAGTGCTTTTAATGCCATTTATTAAAACCCTCTTTTAAAAGTTGGTTTGCAATTTTTTTAAATTATAAACATCAAAATACAGCAAAAAGATTAAATGGAATAGAACAAAATGAAACCATAACTTTTGTTTACATTTTATATTGTTATTCTATTTCGGACAAATTACTGAAGATTGTGGCATATATGGCAGTGCATGTATATATTATATATATATATATATATATATATATATATATATATATATATATATATATATATATATAAATATAAATATATATATATATATATATATATATATATATATATATATATATATATATATATATATATATATATACATATATACATACATATATATATATACATATATATACATATATACATACATATATATATACATATATATAAATATATATATATATATATATATATATATATATATATTATATATATATATATATATATATATATATATATATACATATATACATACATATATATATATACATATATATACATATATACATACATATATATATACATATATATATATATATATATATATATATATATATATATATATATATATATATATATATATATATATATATATATATATATATTTATATATTTATATATGTATGTATATATATATATACAAAATTAAATTAAATTTATTTATATTGAATGTATTTTTAAATAATAAATTTAAAATCAATTTACAAATTATTAAAAAATGATTGCTTTTTGACAATCTTGCATAATTTATGATGACAATCTTGTATAATTTATGGTGATTTATGAAGAAATGTATGATGTTTGTAATGGGGTTTAACAAGTAAAAATTCAAAGGACTATGACAAGCTGTGAATTGCAGTCATAATGATAATGGTAATTAGAATAGTGCTCAGTTGGTTTGTGTTTGTATTAATTTTTGTTGTGTTACATGAATAGTTTGATCTTGATGATGACAAGTTAATCTTTTGGTACATTTTATGCAGTAACATTTTTTTTCGAATTTATTAATTTCTTAAAAAATATCTGGATTTAAATAAAGGTTTTTACATCTTCATTATTTTAATTTTCTCCATTGTCATCACCATTATCTCCATATTTTATTGAAGCAGGTTTTAGCATCTAGTATATCTGCAACCATTACCATGTAAGCCATGAGATGGTCTAAAATTTGTGCATTTGTAAAGTTGTAAGACTAGAAAATTTACTAAAAAGTTTTTATTATAAAAAGTTTTTATTATAACTTTAATAAATAAGATTATCTTTGCATCATAGCCACCCATTTTCTGGAGCTATTAAGTTCCAGTTCTTTCTTTCCAGATTTTTTTTAATATTCTTGAATATTTTATTTTAGTCTACTGAGGCTGGAGCAGTCAAAGATGAGACTTCAACTAATGTAGAAGTTGGAGCAGTCAAAGATGAGACTTTAAATAAGGTAGTAGTTGGAGCAGTCAAAGATGAGGCTTCGGCTAATGTAGAAATTGAAGCAGTCAAAGACGAGGCTACAACTAGTGTAAAAGTTAAAGAAGTCAAATATGACACAACTCAAAAAAATGTTGGAGTGACTATAAATGTAAGTCTAAAATTCAAAAGTTTTTTATAATTAATCAAAAGTTAATTTGTGTAATTAGTTCTGTTTGTTTTGTTTGCTTTCAATGAAATTATTGTTTAAATGTTTTTGTTTGCTTTCAACGAAATTATTGTTTAAATGTTTTTGTTTGCTTTCAATGAAATTATGGTTTAAATGTTTTTGTTTGCTTTCAATGAAATTATTGTTTAAATGTTTTTGTGTATAATGGTTTTTGTGGAATATTTGTTTAAAATATTTTCTGTTTGTTTTTGTTAAATTAAATTAAATGTTGTCATTGCCTTTTCACAATCACCCCCTGTCATTGTCCTTTCACAATCCCCCTTTTACCCCATGAAAAATGACTTTCATGGGGGAAAGTAAGGGGGGGGGGAGTTAGGGGTGGATGGTGGTTTTGAGTTAACGGTTATGCATAGTTTACATAGTTTTCTGTTTTATGACAAGTTGCCCATAACTAACTGTAAGAGTTTAAATTTAACTAAATGGCTGTATATAAACAAAATTAGAAAAGGTTGCATACAACGTCTACATTTACAAGGCAAACTATACTTTTTAAAGATTTTTTTGAAAATATAAAATTTTTAGTTAAGAAATATAATATTTAAATGGAATAACGCACTAGTTGTAATTTTTTATTGAGATAATAACATAAGATAATATTGAGATAATAACATAAGATAATATTGAGAAAATAACATAAGATAATATTGAGATAATAACATAAGATAATATTGAGATAATAACATTAGGTAATATTGAGATAATAACATTAGGTAATATTGAGATAATAACATAAGATAATATTGAGATAATATTATTAAGTAATATTTAGATAATAACATTAGATAATATAAAGATAATAAAATTAGATAAGATTGAGATAAAAACAAATAATATTGAGAACCTAAAATTTGTACTTAAGAGACATTAAAATGCAAAGGCATTATATTTAATTTGAAACTTCTAATATAAATATAAAAACTGAAAACTCAGGTAAAAAAAATTGAGTGTTACTTTAAAATAGATGACCCAGAAAACATCAATAAATAATAGGTGAATTAATAACAATTCTATACCAAATGTAACTATCTCTGATTTTGCTGGCGCTTTTTGATTTTTAACATATCGATGACAAAAGCAAGTTTTTTCTTAAGAATTTTTTGTTGTTGGGGCTAAAGTACATTGGGTATTAGGTTTTTGCCATTAATAAAATTGCACCATATTCATTTTTGATTAAACAAATCAGCAAATTCATTCTTTTTTTTATATAACTATTACAAAAATAATATATATCTTTATTTTTAATTGTTTATGTGACACAGTGATCACATATAGGTAACCAACTGACCTTCCAGTTATATTACATTGAAAGAAGTTGAATGCTCACCAGCTACAAAAGATCTTTATTTTTAATGCTACAAACCATAAATTTAAATAAGTTTTTGTAATCAGCTAACACAAATTTAGATGGGATTATATGGTACTTTTTAAAAAAAAATTCAATATGGAGTTCTTTGATATTATCTTCATAATTTTGTTATTAGATATATATACCAATCTATTTTAACTGACACAAAGTCTGGACTAATTTTATCTAAAAACTTTTAAATTTGTTTTCATTGATAATTTACCTGATTTTTTAAGACTTTCTTTTGGAATTTTAAAAAGTGAACATTATTTCTTTAAGTTTATATTAATAAAATATAATATTAATATATAAATATTCTTTTTAACAATAAATGAAACCCAAACAAATGTGAGATTTTTGTTATTATTTTTCAAAAATTAAAGAAAAACCACAGAAGCATATTGTTAATAATAACAATAAGTTGATTCACTAAGTAAGAAAATATATTAACTAGAAATAAAAAAATTTTTTCTTGCTTGATTTTTAAGACACTTAACAAAACCTTGAGCTGATATTATTTCCTTAGGTTGTTAAATATTATTATAATCCATTTTCATTGGTAAAATTTCAACTTTTCTTTGAAATGTTGAGTTTTCCAAGTGATAAAATTTGATCTAAAAGTGCTAAATGCTAAAAATTTCAAATAAATTATATATAACTTTATGTTAAATATATATTTTCTTTTCAATGTTTAGTTTTACATATATTTCTATTATTTAGTTTTTACTTTTAGTTTTAACGTTGTGTTATTAAAACTTAAGCTATATACATTGTATAATTTTTTATTAAAATACAACTTGATGACTAGACATTAATAAACCTGTCTCTGAAAAAATACTTAAGTATTTGGGACCAAGAATTTCAGAGTTTCCAGTAGTACAAATTAAAAAAAAAATTTTTTTGTAACAAAGAATAGATGAACTAATATTCTAAATAATAGTAAATAAACAATTGTATAATTATAAATTTATAACTATTATAATAACTAATATTTATATAGCTAATTAAAATTTATTTATAGACTGATAATGAAAAAACGAGCCATGAGTATACAAAGCAAAATAGCACACGTATTCATTTGAGTCATGGAGTTAGAACAAAATTTACAATAAATGTTGGACCAATCGACAATGATTTAAAATATACTGTAACACAGAATGTAACACAACTATCACCACAATTGGCATCAAATTATGGTGAATCTAAACAGAATTTTTCAGATAGTGCTAAAACTTTTACAAACAAAGAACCTGTACTAGAAGAGGTTTTTATAGAAGATATAAGACAAAATGAAGAATCACTTCCCGTGAACGTATGTATTAAATGAGAATTTGTAGGTTAAATGGAAAAGACTATATGATCTAATATATTTTGTTATAAAATACACAGATAGAAAAACAGTTCTTGAAATTAAGTTGTAAATAATTCAATAAAATTGTTTAATTTCAGGTTGAAGAAATGCTTTTCTTATCAGAAGATGAACCACAAACCAATAAAATTGTTGAAACTCAATACAAAAAAGGTAAATATATACAGTATCAACCATATAATGCCAAGATATATATATATATATATATATATATATATATATATATATATATATATATATATATATATATATGTATATACATATACATATACATATATGTATATATATATATATATATATATATATATATATACATATATATATATGTATACATATATATATATATATATCATATATATATATATATATATATATATATATATATATCATATATATATATATACATATATATATATATATATATATATATATATATATATATATATATATATATATATATATATATATATATATATATATATATATATATATATATATATATATATATATATATATATATATATATATATATATATATATATATATATATATATATATATGTATACATTAGGGCTGTTCATGTAAACACAGGAAAAAAAATTTTTTCTCGGATTTGAATGCATAGTTGTTTATTTTGTGCCATTTGACATAGTAATTGACTGTGTAAAAAATCTTTCCAATCAGATAATGTTTAAGGGGTGCTCAATGACCATAAAGTTTTACGAAAAACGTCAAAAACGTGGAAAAAGTTCCAAAGTTCCAAAAATTTCTAGAACCTGGTTAGTTAGATTTTTTCCACTGAAATATTGTCTGATTGCGCGCTATATAGATTAATTAAAGTGCAGCAGATTAACTGTCATCAGGGCACCAGACTAAAAAATGTCAGCTAGTGTTTAAAACAACTGTGTTTATATCATTTTGTTAAAATTTGTATTCATAATTTTAATACTATTATTTAACTCAATTTAGAATTTGTTCAAACAGAATAAAAAGGTTTACAAGTATAAATATTATTTTTATTTGGAATTTCAGTTTGACAACAAATGTATTAATATTTTGATAGTACCTAACCTTAGTAACCTATTACAGAAAACTAGCATGGTAGTCTGGTAGTGTATTGTTTGTTATTAAGTGCAGATAATAATAATTTCTAATTTGAAAATATTTATTTAATTTCTTTAGTAATAATTATTATTATTATATATTGCTGCAGCTGCATAAACCAACAACTGAATGATAAGTTTGTATAATATGGTATTGAGTTTTGATTTTCTCATAATTTTTCAGTTATCATTGAAATGGCAGCATCATCTCGTGTTGCTATCTCTACACGACTTCAAACCGAAATCTTTTTAATTGGACAACCAGAGCCAAATCTTCCAGATAAAGTTCTTCCCTTAACATCTGATGTTTTAAAAACATTTTTTTATCATCTTAATTCAACCAAAAAGTCAGTGCCTGAAAGTCTTAAAACAACTGTTGATGAACTGATTATTATTTGGAATAAAGCCCGTATTCCGACAGCATTTCATCCGAATGTAGTCTTAAAGTTGAAAACTTTAGTCCAGGAATTTAAATTAATAAAAAAAAAAAAATCCAGATTGTCAGATTCTCAGAAATCAAGAGAGAAATCATTTACAGACACCATTGGCCTACTTTTTGACATTGCCCACAAGGATGCTGAAACCATGATCAGAATTGAAGAAGATAAAGAATTTTTATTGGATCAGAGATGTCAGAGAAAAATAATGACAAAATGGTTGATAGAGATTTTGAGATAGAAATCCCTGTTTATTACAGACAACAAGTCAGTAAAGCAAGTTCTTCAGGGTCAGCTGAATTAAGTTTAGCAAGTACTCCAAAACGACAACGTATCTTAGATACAATTCTTGACTCGCCTGATGTTTCATCAACATTAGACAGAATTAATCTATCTGACACAAAATTTACTATACTAGCAGCAGCAATTGCAAGGGCTGGTGGACAGAACCTCGATGATGGATCATTGTCACGTTCTACAGTCCGTAGAAAACGAACCTATCATCGATCAAACATTGAAGCCACTGTTCGAACTGAATTCTGCGATTTGGACAAACCACCATTAATCGTCTACTGGGATGGCAAACTGATGATAGATCGTACAAATTCTGCAGACCCTAAAGCAAATGTTGACCGGCTATCTGTAGGTGTGACAGGTCACAATGTTGACAAAATACTTGAAATAGCAAAACTATCAGCTGGAACTGGAGAAGCCCAAGCAAAAGCAGTTATTTATCTGCTTAATTTCTGGGACATAATTGGTGATGTTATTGGAATGAGTTTTGATACTACAGCCTCTAACACTGGCTCTGAAAATG